TCTCAGTAAACTGTTACTCAACATGAGATAAAGAGGGAGTGTGTTGGAAATTAGAATGAAAACTTTGGCAGTTAAAAAGTACCTGATCAATAGGGGAACAGATAGATAAATTGCAATATCTTTATGCCCTAGAATGCTCTACTGAAATGAAAATGAATGAATTAAAGTTGTATCCGCGGCTCACTCGGCTAGTCCTCCGCCTTGCGGCGCCGGCACACCGGGTTCTAGTCCCGGTCGGGGTGCCAGATTCTGTCCCGGTTGCCCCTCTTCCAGGCCAGCTCTCTGCTGTGGCCAGGGAGTGCAGTGGAGGATGGCCCAAGTCCTTGGGCCCTGTGCCCCATGGGAGACCAGGATAAGTACCTGGCTCCTGCCATCGGATCAACGTGGTGTGCCGGCCGCAGCACGCTGGCCACGGCGGCCATTGGAGGGTGAACCAACAGCAAAGGAAGACCTTTCTCTCTGTCTCTCTCTCTCACTGTCCACTCTGCCTGTCAAAAAAAAAAAAAAGTTGTATCTACCAATAAGGCTAGCTCTCATTAGCATAATGTTGAGTGAGGAAAGCAAACTGCAGAAGGTACAGAGTGACAATATTTACATAAGATACTACATATTATTTAGAGACAGACACTATGTAGTAAATGTAAATAGACATACATGGAAGTGATCAAGAACAAATTAAGATTGTACAAACCTTGTGATGGAGGAGTATGCAGAGGGCTTCAATTGTTTTGATGTCCTTACTAAACTGGGTAGTGGGAATATCCTGGTTGTTATATTATCATATACATGCCTATGTAGTTTTGTAATACTTCATACTTTTTTTTATTTGACAAGTAGAAATATAGACAGTGAGAGAGAAACAGAGAGAAAGGTCTTCCTTCCGCTGGTTCACTCCCCAAATGGCCGCTATGGCTAGCAGTGTGCCGATCCGAAGCCAGGAGCCAGGTGCTTCTTCCTGGTCTCCCATGCGGGTGCAGGAGCCCAAGCACTTGGTCCATCCTCCACTGCCTTCCCAGGCCACAGCAGAGAGCTGGACTGGAAGAGGAGCAACCAGGACTATAACTGGCGCCCATATGGGATGCCAGTGCCATAGGCACTGCAGATTAACCAAGTGAGCCACGGCGCCGGCCCCTCACACTTTTTAAAGAGTAATTACCCAATCCTGAGGCATCCTGTCACTGGTGCTGATGAAAATTCCCATGTTTTTAAGTTTGCACTAGTCAGAATTCTTTGAATGTGGCCAAGTTGAACAACTCATTGAATCTAGTCATTCAGTATGGGACAGTAGATTATTCACTATACATAGGATGATAATCCGTAAGTTCCTATTTACATTTATGTACAGGATATTGCTTGCATTGGACCTTTCACAATATTTTGTATAAGAATTTCAGCACAAAACCCTTGTGGCAAGCAAGTGGGATCAACAGAAATGGATCAGAGTTTGCAAAGCATAGGATATGTGCTATCACGCCATTGGCTCACTCTGCCTGGTTTCATTGTTTATGTTGGTCTGCCTCTATATTTGCAGCTGGGTCAGTGAGCCTTTCTTAGAGAGGAGGGGTCAGGCCCTCATATCCTCTTCAATGGGGTGGGCCTTGGAGAGGGAGCAGCTGTACATAAGGAAAGAAGTGAACGCTTACCATTTTGCCCCAGGAAGAAGGGGGTTGGACCAAATGTTTCCTGATGTTATTTCTGGCTGAAGGCATTTCCAGCTCTTGCCCAGAACTACCTGCAAAGAAGAAGGAGAACAGAGCTTGGTGTGACTTCTCATAGGTTAGATTTGGGGGGCTAGAACACATTCAAAGTCCGGAAATGAGTGATGGTCCCTGGGGCAGGGCTGAGTTGGAAAAGCTCGATAGAAGAAAAGGATTTCCTTTTTGAAGTGACTTCTTCACATTTCAGGGTAGAGGAGAGATATGAAAGGTTAAAGAATGGAAAAAACTCTGGGTTCTCCAGACTTAAGAGCCTGGGAGCTGAAGTTTTTACTGTTTTGTCTGCTAGGATTAAACTGATTTTTTCCCTTTGAAAGACCTTCAAAAATATTTTTATATTAACAAAGCCATATATACTCATTGTAAGAAAGCTGAAAAATACAGAAAAGCAGGAAGAAAACAAAATTCATTTAGTTCCACTATCTAGAGACATCTTTCCTTTTAATGTTTTTTCTATGCATATCCCATTTTCACATGTTGTTATTATCATTCTATATTGAATGTTGTATCCTACTTTCAGTTAATATTATGGCAAAACATTCCCTGTCATTATAAACTATGTGTAAATATCAGTAGGCTATATAATATTTCATTGTATGAATATACTATAATTTGCTTAACCATTGAGCCATTTTCCCCCTAGTATTTTTTTAAAGAGGATTAATTTTTCTCCTCCATTTTAATTCATACGCTCTTTTTTTTTTAAAAAAGATTTATTTATTTATTTGAAAGGCACAGTTACAGAGAGGCAGAGGCAGAGGCAGAGAGAGAGAGAAGTCTTCCATTTGCTGGTTCACTCCCCAGATGGCCACAATGTCAGGAGCTGCGCCAATCCAAAGCCAGGAGCCAGGAGCTTCTTCTGGGTCTCCCAGGTGGGTGTAGGGGCCCAAGGACCTGCGCCATCTTCCACTGCTTTCCCAGGCCATAGCAGAAAGCTGGATCAGAAGAGGAGCAGCTGGGACACGAACCAGAGCCCATATGAAATGCCCAGGCACTGCAGGCAGTGGCTTTAACCACTATGCCGCAGCACTGGCCCCTCCTCCCTAGTATTTTATTATTCTAAGTAATACCAGAGTTAACATAGTTGAACAAAAAATCTTTGTACATCTCTTTTTCCTTAGTACACATTCATTCATTATACAGATGTTACTGAGGGCCTACTGTATGCCATGTACTTGCTAGGTGCCATGTTTCTGCTTTGAGTGGCCTGTTGTTGTTTACTGATCTAGGAAACACTGGGGAAGGTGCAGCTTTGTATGTGTTGCATTTGAAAGACATTCCAGTGGAAATATCAAGAAAACAGAGTTCAGTGAAGTGGTCTGAGTAGAATTCTTGAATTACATTCGTGGCCATATATAGGTGGCAAAACCACGGGAGTGAAAGAGGTCATTTGGGGAGACAGTATATGTATCCTAGGCCTAAGAATGTGCATGTTTTAGTGTCAGTGAAAGAGTAAACTTATAAAGGAGACCGAAGAGAGGGCAAAGGAGTGGGAGGAAAAGCAAGAGAGCAATGTCTCCTCCAGAAGAATTTCTAGGAGGAGAAAATTGTTAACGCTGCTAAATGTAGGGGAGACGTCAAGGATGATAAGGACTGACAATATCCCATGTATTTATTTGAGGGATTTATTGACATGGAGGGCACTGGTTGGGTATTTTGGTGAGCACAATTTCAGTGGAGAAGGAAGCCAGATTGCTGAGGGTTCAGAAATGAATGAGAAGGGCTTGAAAATGGCAAATGTACTTGTAAGGTGCATTTTCAATGAATTTGCCCATCCAGAGGAGCTGGAAGGAATGTCATGAGTAGGCAGGACGCATTTTTTAAAAAAGATTTATTTACTTATTTGAAAGTCAGAGTTACAGAGAGGAAGGGAGATCTTCCATCTGCTGGTTCATTCCCTAGATTACTGTGATGGGACTGGCCCAGGCCAAAGCCTGAGAGCCAGGAGCTTCTTCTGGGTCTTCCATGTGAGTGGCAGAGCCCCAAGTACTGGAGTCATCTTGTGCTTTTTCCAGGCGCACTAACAGGGAGCTGGATTGGAAGCGGAGCAGCTGGAACTCCACCCAGCATCCATATGGGATGCCAGCGTGGCAGGCGGCAGTTTTACCTGCTATGCCACAGCACCAGTCCTGGCAGGATACGTTTTTTAAGATAGTAAAGAGCATGTTTAATTGCTGATGACAATTGAGAGAGACTTCAGCAAGTTTAATGGCTGATATGAAGAAGGGAGGGAGGAGGGCAAGGGGGCATCTGCAATTCTTAAACAGATATAAACATTTCAGAATCTATTGATATAGATTGTTCACATGGTTTCTAAAAGATTTTATTATTATTATTATTATTATTATTTTATTTGACATATGGAGTTAGTTAGAGAGAGAGAGACAGAGAGAAAGGTCTTCTTTCCATTGGTTCACCCCCGAAATGGCCGCTACGGCTGGAGCTGCGCCGATCTGAAGCCAGGAGCCAGATGCTTCCTCCTGGTCTCCCTTGCGGGTGCAGGGGCCAAAGCACTTGGGCCATCCTCCCCTGCCCTCTTGGGCTACAGCAGAGAGCTGGACTGGAAGAGGAGCGACTGGGACTAGAACCGGTGCCCAGATGGGATGCCGGCGCCATAGGCGGAGGATTAACCAAGTGAGCCTCGGCACCGGCCCCTCTAAAAGATTTTTAAACAACATACACTCCTACCAGCAATTATGAGAGAACTTGTTTGGTGGACACTTTGTCATCCTTAAGTGTTATTGAAAAAAATAAAAACCTCTTTGCTAAAGATTCTCATTATTGTTATAATTTACTCTTTGATTACCAGTGAGTCGATATTTTAACTGGTTGTGTTCTTTGAGTGTGCAGGTGTGAGTTAAGTCTGTGTCCTCTGCTCAAAACACTTCTGTTGTGGGTAAACACTGTTTTCTATAAAAAGTAAAAAGTCAAAGGATCAGAACAGTGTCATATGTTATCTTCCCAAATCACATAGTTTAGACTTCTTCTTGCAAGTACGTGACAGCTTGACAACTTTTGGCTCAGCTGAACAGAAGTAGGTGATTTTTACCATCTAAAGAGAGTGACCACAGATGGAAGTGAACGGCGCTGGGGACACGGGGTGTGTGTTGGCGGGATACATATACTCTTAGATCCCTATCCTCAGTCCCCAAATTCTCTTTTCTAACCTGGGAGGACATCCCTTCAGTGCGTTAAGGTTTTGGCTGCCGCAGCTCGCCTTTGGATTGGGCGACCCCTACTAAGGAGCTCAAGCGCTGTGCGGCCCCTTTAAGAGTCCAGCTCCTCCCCGCTCCAGGGAAAGTTGCAGCTTTTTCCGCCTGCCGGAGAGTGAGAAGGGCCGGCCGCAGAGTGGGCTTGAGATCTTCTCGGAGCCGGAGACCCCTCCCTGACTCTGGTCCTGGGACGTCTAGTCTTCTCGCGGCACCTGTTGCTGGTGACAGGTAGGGCCGCAGCTAGCGGCTGCCCGCCCTCTTGCTCTCGCTCTGGGACTCTTTTTGGTCCCATCCCCTTTTCACTGCTAAAGCGCTCCCACCCCCTTTTCGAGCACCTGCGCCCTTCCCTACCCCTTTTAGCTCTCCAGGTCTTTACTGCTGTCTCGCTGACGGTCAGTCCCCTTTCCTCTGCCTGCCTCTCTGGACCGCACCCCTACGCCTGGACGCCGTCTGCTTGGGGCGGTCCCTCCCTGCCACTTTTCTTTCTCCCGGGCTTCTTCTGGCCCGTTCCATGGCCCACGCGTCGTTAACGCGGACTGTGGCCATCTGGGCACTGTTCCCTCTCTGTCACCCCTCTTGCGGAGTCCCCAGCTTTTCCCGCCAGCCGGAGCCCAGGTTCCTCCAGAGAGCTGGCCCTGGGGGCGGGGGTGGGGCTGGGCTCCTAGCAGGGACGCACCCTCCGCGGCGGCCCGTCACGTTTCCGTCGGTTCCTCTCGCGCTGTCCCTTCACCTCGGACCTGGCGGCGTTGGCTGCCTTGGCCTGCCTGCCACAGTGAGGCCGGTTGGCCCAGAGTGCTGCCTCAGTGGGCTCCCCCTGCACTTGAGGCTGGGCTGCTTTCTTTGTGGCCCTTCAAGCAGGCCATGGGAGTTTACTCCTGCAGCAGGGTCCCCAGAGCGCTCAGAAGAGGCGCAGGATGCTTGTGTCTTCTGTGTTGGTTTGTAAAGGGACAAGAAAAAGTGTTCCTTTAGCCCTCAACATTGGATGGGATGGGGTTTTCGGGTTTGAAATCATTGGGTTAGAATTTTAGTGGCTTGAAAAAGTGGTGTTTTTATGAACCAACCAGTTTCCCCAAACCCTTGCTTTTTCAGGGCCAGAGGACCTTAGCATTCTCGAATAATGCTTTAGGCAGGGCTGACCTCGGAGACCTTGGACATGTGTGGCAGAAATTAGTCTTCAGTACATTTAGGACCTCCTGTTTTTAACTGGATTTTTTCTGCTCTTTCACCTCCCTACTCCCACCTCTCATAAATCCATTAATATCAAGAGGTTAATGACCTAAAATGTTTACCCTACTGTGGAGGGAACAGTGGTTTAATGCAGAGTTGTGGCCCTGATGGTGTTCTGGTTTTCTGTTTGGTTTTTTAATCATCAGCTGGAGATCCTAGTAGAAAAAGCCCATGAACTTGGCTTGGGTGACTTTTGTTTTGTTTTTGAGAGGTGACAGAATTTCAGGTATCTCTCTCTAGGTCAGAGCAGTGAAGTGGAGCTTTGAAGCCCTGTTCTGGGGTGAGTGGTGTGTGAGTGAATGAGACATTCTGCTTGATGCTCTCTGAGCTTTTCCCTTTAATGACTGCTACTAATAGTGGCTATTAAGAGTCTGCTGAGCTAGGCACTGTGATAAGTTCTTTGTGTAATTGTCTCATACAGTCCTCATGATAACTCTGTGCAGCACGCACTACACGTATAACCATGTTAGGATGAAAAGAAGACTCTGAGAGGGTAAGCGCCTTGGCCCAAATCACCCAACTGAGGGGGTCAGAGCTTGTGTTTCTATCCTATCACACCATATCTATTATCTCAGATGTTAGGAACACTAAATAGCTTGTACATGAGCACTAACTTATGAAGAACTTCCCTCCCAAGCTGAGACATAAGTTTGGATCCTTGATTTCACCTTAGATACACTGCATAGAATCTGGACCACTTTCCTCACTGATATCTTACCCACTTCATTTCCAACATGGGGCCAGCTGCCACGTTGCCACTATAAGCACCCCACTCCTGGAATGTACCCGGATGAAAGAAACCTCCTGGGCTGTTAGCTCAGGGCAGTTGTCCTGAAATTAGCAGAGAGTAACCCTGGAATCCAGGGGTATGTGCCAGACTACTTCTTCCCTACTGGCAAAAAGAGAGAATTGAGGACATGGTAAGTGATAAGGATTTCCCAACAGCCAGGCCAGAGAGCCTGAGGGTGATGGTGTGCTTTTTGTTATAGGATGGATGGAATATGTAGGCTGGGAGAGGGGGAGAAAATAAAAATCTCCTCTCTGATCCCACCTCTGGGACTTTGCTCAAATTGTCTCCCCCCCTTTTTTTTTCCTGAAAAGCCAACTTGCCACCCCTACCTGTTAATTCTTAGTCATCTGTCAACATTTAACTCTAAAGTCGCCTCCTTTGGAACAGCCTTACGTGCACTTTACTTTTGTCAAGAGGAATTACTAGTTATCCTGTGTCCTAAAGCACTTCTTGTTACACCTCAGTAAAGCCCTTACCATCACTCTTGCCTGTTTTTCCACCTGGAAGGTTGTAACCTCTCTAAGAGCAAGCTCTGGATCTTGGAGTTCCCTTTGTCTTAAACATAAAAGACTAACAAACATTCATTCTGGAAATGGAGGTAGTCATGCCTTTCAGGGGCTGAGGTCTGGTGATGGTGGAATGGAAGCACAGAATGTGATACAGTTTCCAGATCCGATCAGCAGGACTTCCTGATAAATTGAGTGTGAGGAGTAAAAGGGAGAAAACAAGGGTGACCCTTGTTTTTGGTCTGAGCAACTGAATGGCCGATGACATCATTTTACTGAGACAGGGGAGGTTGAGGAAAAACCTGAGGCATGCGAGAGTAGTCAGAAATCTCGTTTTGACCATGTTATATTTGAGATGTCTATTTGATAGACAAGTAGAAATGTGAAATGTCCCTGAATATATGAAGCTGTGGCTTAGAAGAAAGGCATAGATCAAAGACATAAATTTGGGAGTGATGAGTATCTAGACAGATGAAATTTAAAGCCATGGGGCTGGATGAGAGCCTCTAGGAAGATTCTAGGTGGAGAAAAGTCCACACTGAGCCGTAAGTCACTCTGATGTTCACAGTTGAGGAGATAAATTTAGAAGAGACTGAGACATTTTTTAAATACAAACTTGAGTTTTTAAAACAATGAATGTACACTAAATGGTAAGAATCTCGTACTTTTAAAAAAAGATTTATTTATTTACCCGAAAGGCAGAGTTACAGAGAGAGAGAGAGAGAGAAAGAGGTCTTCCATCGTTGGTTCACTCCCCAAATGGCCACAATGGCTGGAGCTGGGCCCATCTGGAACCAGGAGCTTTCTCTGGGTCCTCCATGTGGGTGCAAGGGCCCAAGCACTTGGGCCATCCTCTACTGCTTTCCCAGGCCATCAGCAGGGAGCTGTATTGGAAGTGGAACATTCAGGACTTAAATTGGAGCCCATATGGGATGCCTGTGCTGCAGGCGGGTGTGCTTAACCTGCTATACCACAGTGCTGGCCCCAATATCTACTACCTTAACAAGGGCCCAGGTCCTTCCAAGTCTGCCTTTAAATGGATTCTCGCCTTTTATTTCTTTCTGAACATTTCAAAACACATTGAAGTGGAATGACATTTTTTTGTTTTATGTCATATACTAGTTTTCTAATACTGCACAATCCTCCTGGTATCAAAGCAGTGCTCACATACGGCTCTTCCATAAATTTCACAAGCCAATAACTACCTCACACCTAAAAGGCTAAGGGTGACATGAGGCCAGATGCCTAATTGGTGGCATCTTTTATTCTTCTGAGCTGTTCACTTCCCTGTTGCACAGCAACTTTCTCCAGCCTCTGACTGAGCTTGCCAAATACCCAAGAGGCCTCAAGGCATCTGACAGTCCACACTCCTTCCCAGTGCAGCCCCCTTCCTACCACTAAGAAGCACAGCATCTTTGCAGTTCCCCTTCTAAACCTCAGAAGCTTCCATCCAAAGGGGGAGAGAGAGAGAGAGAGAGAGAGAGAGAGAGAGAGAAGGAGGGAGAGAGAGAATGTATTTCTAAAGGGCAAAGTTGTTATCAGAAATGTAATCTCAAAGCAAAACTCAGCAGACAGAAACCTCTGCAAAAACTGGCACTGGGGCAGCCTTACACCAGTAGGGCTACAAAGTGGATAGGCTTAGTTTAAGCTCCAGGAGAGCACAAAAGAGTGCCAATTCATACTTTGGGACTGTCAGTTTATTTATTTATTTAACAGATATGAGTATACCTATGACGTGCCAGTCTCAGGTCTGGGTCCTAGGGTCTACTGGTGAGTACAAAAGACAGCAATCTCTGTCCATACAGAGTTTATGTTGTGTTGGGGGCGAGGGTGAGCACAGGGTAGGGACAATAGACAATAAGCTAGAAAAATCTAGTAAGGTAGGGAAGAGGATGAAAGCTTACACTTGATTTTAGCCAAAAGGCCGAGAAGCGATGAGGATGAAAGTTTAAATAAAATGGTCAGAAAATGCCTGTACAAGATGACATTTAAGTCCAAACTCCTAGCTTTAGGATTTCATGTGCAATGAAGATCCTGGAACAATGCTTAAGCATCTACTTGAATATACACAAGTATTTCTGTGGCATAGTTTTTTTCTAGGAGAATTTCTGGGTCAGGGAGATGTTCATCAAAGAGTACAAAGTTTCAGTTAGGTTGGCGTAATAACTTTTAGCAATCCATTGCACTGCATGGTGACCACTGTTAATAAAAATGTATTGTGTATTTTAAAATTGCTCAAATACAGATTTTAAGCATTCTTACCACAAATATAGATATAAGTTGGTAGGGTTACATATAAGTTAATTAGCTTGATTGAGTCTTTTTAAAAAATTTATTTGACAGAATTATAGACAAAAAGAGAGACAGAGAGAAAGGTCTTCCTTCCGTTGGTTCACTCCCCAAATGGCCACTACAGACAGCGCTGTGCTGATCCGAAGCCAGGAGCCAGGTGCTTCTTCCTGGTTTCCCATGCGGGTGCAGGGCCCTAAGCACTTGGGCCATCTTCTACTGCTTTCTCAGGCCATAGCAGAGAGCTGGACTGGAAGAGGAGCAACCAGGACTAGAACCAGCGCCCATATGGGATGCCGGCGCCGCAGGTGGAGGATTAATCAAGTGAGCTGCGGCGCCGGCCCCCTTGATTGGGTCTTTCTACAGTGTATACACAAATCAACATCATATCGTACATTATAAATATACACAATTCT